ACAGAAGTGCTGTCCTTGGGACGCAGGAGCTGGATCTCTCAGTTCAGATTTGAAACTGCTGCCTGGACAGTGCCAGCACACTGGGGTGCTGCTCCCCTATGCTGCCACCACCAAGTTCCTCCTCCTAATCCCAGGGCTGTCTGCTGATACACAACCCTCAGTGTCAACAGGATGGGGCTCCCAGGCTGCCACGGATGCCAAAATGTCCATCAGGAAACCAGAGGCGTCAGGCCTGGGTTGGGCTGCGTGGGAGCAGGGTGGGAAAGTCTGTGTGGTTGGTGACTCCTGTCTTCTTGAACATTTTTAGCCCTGAGCATTTTTAGCATTGCTTGCCGCTTTGATCCCCCAGTCCCAACCCATCCCCTGCCTGGACAGCTGCTTGCTCCCTTGATATCTCCTCAAAGAGGTGCTGCTGTGACATTGCTGGCACCCTAAAAGCAGTGGGCATGTTCCCACTGTCCAGTAGCCCCATCAGGCAGTGCTCCAAAAACACTTTGTGTGGTATTGAGGGCAGCAGGGAACGAAGGATCTTTGGTTTTAATAGTAGGTCAGCAATTAGCAGGCAGCCATGTCTCTCTATTTGCTGCCACCCTGGAAATGCTAGCAGAGTTTGGAGTACCCATACAGCACCTTGGTGCTATTGTTATCTAAGTCACTAATTACACATTACCTATATGTCACCAGGCTGATCGATACTAATCTGAGAAATCAATAGGGATGTGGAGGTCGGTGCTGTTTGCCATTCTGCACAAGCTGGGAAAAACAGGGCATCATCGATCCCAAAGGTGCCACTGCTCTGCTTCCATCAGCAAGAGGGACTTCAGCTGCAAATGCAATCAGATTTTGCAGGAAGAAGCTCTCAGCACTGCCATAAAACTTGGGATTTAAATGAGGTTAAGTAAGGGAATTGCATAACTAGGGGCTTTTGCCTGTCTTGTGAGTCTCATGACTGTCCTGATTCTGTCGTAGCGATGCTGGGAAATGGCTCTTTGAAACTACAAGAGCCTTAGAAAGGTGCAGGCAGGTCAGGATCATCTGCCCTCAGCGTTTGGCTTGTCTTGAGCAGTTAGCTGATGGTGGTGGGATTAGGCAGAGAGCAGCGTGGGGTGAAAGCAAAACTCTCCCCAAAGGCTTTGCTCGTGCTCAATCATGCCTGTGCCCTCACTGAGGTGTGGAGCTCTACAGCCCCCTCCTGCCATGCTGGGCAGGTGTCGTGGCTTCAGGGGTTTACATCAGTACTCCACATCATAACATCTTGTAGTGTGCTGGGAGTTAAAGAGTTTGTGCTGCAGCTCCATAGGTTGTCAATAATCCAAGGAACTGCAGCATTAATTGTCAAACTTAATGATTTCTGGTCACCTGTTCTCAGAAGAGAAGAATGAAGTACAGCTCCCAGAAGACTTCATTTTTCTGTTCCCATTTTCCGTTTGGAGGGAAAGATAAAACAGGCTGGGAGTCACAAGACTGCCCTCTCTGCTCCCTGGCTGCTCAGCCTACAGCATTAGAGTAAGGACTTCAGTTCCAGAAATTCTCTGTTTCACATTTTATTTGATTTGCTTCCATTTCAATCTTACTGTATTATATTGTATTATCTCACATTCTGCTACTACATTCAGTAAGCTTTTTTTCCTTTAGCTTGTTTGAGGCCCATCTTCCTACCTTTTCCCTTTTTTGCTCCCCCCCTGCTTCCCGGGGCATGGATCCATGGGTCCCTTTGGCTCTTCATCATGGAAACCAGGCCAACCCCTGACAGCAGGCAATATTACAGATGAGCAGGTGGGGGTGCAGCCAGGCACCAACCCCCAGCAGATCAGCCTCTGCTCACTAGCAAAGCAGGAGATCTTTGCTTGGAAAGCATAGGATGAAGAGTTCCCAAGCAGCAGCAGTCAGGCTCTCATCAAGTTTTTAGGGCAGAAGGTAGCAGAATGAGATCTGGGTAGAGGCTGCTGGTCCCCACATTCATCTACAAAGACCTGTTGCTTTTCCTAAGCAGCAGATGCAATCTGCTTTGGTCCCAGAGCAGACTGCCAGGAACTTAATCCAGCAGCAGACCCATAATCCCTTCCTTAGTCCCACAAGCCCCAGATGCAGAAAGGTGATGGATTTGCTGTTTCATAGGGTTTACTTGGCCCAGCCTCATTCCCCACAGCACTGGGGAGGTGTGCTTTGGGATTTTCCCCCAGCAATGATGTAGGAATATTTCTGAGGGGGTCTTGCACCACTCTGCAGCTCAAGGACCTGAGCTTTTGGCACTGACAACAGGCTGTGTTCAGCAGAGCAAAACCTGCTTGTGGTGTAGATAGAAATGGAGAACCACAGCCAATGTGCAGTGGCACAGGGCTCTAATCTTCAACCCTGATGTGGCAACGCTGCTGGGAACTGTGTGGATTCTCAGACTGGGAGCTCCTCAGGACATGGCTGGTGAAAGAAGCTGGCAGCCCCCAGTCCTTCCATTACAACTTCATCTTAAAAGACACTTCCCCCTGGAATTAACCTCTACTTTTAAAATGCCAGCAAAGAGGCTTTTGCTGATAAGGGACCAGGACAGGATTTCAGCTGTGCACTCATTTGCTCTCCCTCTCTACCAGCAATGATGGGCTACAGCTGGGGAGTTGGAGCCACCCTGCTGACCTCATATATAAATGGGGCCAGGTAGCTACCCAGCTCCTAAGGATGCTGCAATTTGGGCTGGAGATGAAGTGCTACAACAGAAATTTAATTTTAGTGAGATGGCACTATGCTTGGTGAGTAAGCCACGTCTCTAATCTCACATAGGCAGCTTTGTGTTTGCATGAAGGATGAGAGCTGAGCAAATATTCCTCTTCCTGTTGCTCTGCTCCTCGTTTGCTCTTTCATTAAGGATCATCCTCTTAATATTTGCAAGGATGTGGATTTTTTGTTGTTGTTGTTCTATTTTGTTTAGTTTTTATGGAGTGCGTACCAAGCATCAGGAGTCACGTGTTCAGTGAATGGTGGCAATTAGCCTCACTTTGACCCTTGATGGCGTGCCTGTGTCTGCAGTTAATGCCCTGCTCTGTGTGCATGAAGTTTCTATCTTCCTTCCATCTGGGGCTGGCAAAGCTGGCTCTTTAAAACTAGCAGGAAAGCACTGAAAATGGAGCCTGAGCCCCACTGCCCTGTGCTGTGGGCTGCTCTCAGGGTGTGCTTTGTGCTGCTCTCTGCAGTTGGGTTGATGTGAGCATGGCTCAGGGTTCTGTGTGATGCAGTGCAGAGGCTGTGGGACTGATTTGGCTCTGCTGGTGCCTCTGCTCAAGCACTCCGTGGCAGATTCTGTGCTCCTGGCCCAATGCATCTAGGAAATTGGATGGAGCTGGTGCCTTTAGTGCTCTGCAGAATTCTCTGAGAAGGAGATACTGGAGCAAAATTCTGATTTCAGGGGGAATAACTAAAGGCAGACAGGATGGCACCTGTGGGGCCTATTGTGCTGAAGGGAAATCTGGGGAGTTGGGAGAAACATGGCCCCATTCTCTGTCCCACTGCTGTTGGCATCTCACAGGGATTTTACCCCAGCAGAGCCAGCGCTACCAGAAAACTGCTCTTATTCTGCTTTCCTTCTCTGCCATGTAAATTCATCTATCTCCAAATAACTGCTGTGCTCTGAGATAATGTGATTTTTGGGGAGGAGCTTCCCTTGCTTGTCACCCAACTGCTTGCTGGGCTGCAGCTGATTTCTAATGAAGAGCTTCCTCCTGGAGAGAGGCGGGGGGAACAGGGAGAAAAATTACAGCAGAGAAGGGGGCGGCGTTTCTGAATCCAAATACATTAAACCACTTAATTCTGTTGACTCAGGGCTGCCTCACTCTAAATAGGAATTAATCTGCAGTGAACCAAAATTAAAAAGCACAATACAAAATGCTTAGCAAGGCACCACCAGGGCTTAAAGTAGCCCATTAGCTTGCTCGAACGTACCCAGTAAATTTTCATTTGTCAATAATGCTTAGAGCCTACAATTTATTTACAGCCTGTTCAATACAACCAAACCCCCCCCAGAGTGCCTTATCTGTATTTATCTGACACAGTCAGCTTCCTTTTCAGGGTTGCTTCCTCATCTCTTGTTTTGCCCCTGCTTGTCTCTCCCATTGCAGATCCAACTCCTTTGGGCAAAAGTGGTGTAGGATGACCCCTTCTCTGTCCCACATGGAGATCACCTGCAGGGCCTCTTGAGCCAGCTGCCAGGTGATCAGTATCATGGCTGGGGCTGAGACCTCCCCCATCCTACACCCAGGGGACGTGGGGAGGTGATGGGAACCCCTACACTGTGGCCTCTGAGGGATGTGTTGGTCACCAGTGATGGGATGATGGGGAGGGGTGTGAGCGGCTGCCTCTGCTTGCCCACAGTGTGGCTGAGCTCCAGCAGCCATCACTGAAGGCCCCTCCATCTGTTCCCCAATCGGCTGCTGGGGGATGAGTCGCGGCAGAGACGGCGCCTAACAGGATTTCCTCCAAAAGCAGCTTGAATGTTGTGGGACTGATAACGAAGCCTGGCAGGCCCAAGGATTCTCCAAGGAAAGGAGTTATTCTCAGGCACAGACATAAGGCGGGTGCTTTGTATTCCCAGCACGGGTCACATCCAGTTCAGCAGGCGTGAGTAGTGCAGGACATGGCCCATCTTGGGTGTAGGGCTTATGGAAGGAGTTTGTTCAGAGTTTTAACCACGAAGATTTGCACAAGTGGGATGGCAGACGTCCCAGGAGGCACCGATCGTACCCTAGGAGGTGCAGTGGCAGCCTGCTCTCTGCTGCTCATCACGGACTCCTACACAGGAGTCTGTACAGAGGGCAGTGAGCAGGACCTGCAGCCCAGGTTCTCTTACACAGAGGCAATTTCTAATAGACTTTATAAGCACGCATGCAGTAGGCAGTTGGTAAAGAGAAGGTCCGTTTGCTTCCCTCCCAGCACTGGCTAGTGTTTGCAGGCACCTCTTGCTGTTGGGGAAACCCTGTCCTTCCACCCCAAAGAGCAAAGCCCCCATCACTTGCCTGCTGCTGTCTGCATGTAGCCGGCCAGAGTGCAGACTTTCCTCTCACAGGCTCCGCTGGGCAGCAGGACGGCGATGATGGCCAGCAGCGAGCTGAGGGCCAGCAGGGCACAGCCTCCCGCACACAGCACGGCACTTGTCTGGAAGGACACAGGACAGTCAGCAAGGGGATTCCCTGCCATCCCCACAACACCTCCCCACCAATTCCCTTTCTCCTATCTCAGAGTAAGAAGTGGAGGCTCTGTGTGGGTGCTTCTCCCAGTTCTCCTCCTTCCTGCTGCTCAAATTCACCACTGAATTGTGAGCCTGTGGTTCACTCATCACCTGGTCCCAGTGGTTATTAGCATTCAGATGATGGTGATAATGGCAAATGTGTTACATGCATGAAGGGCTACGTCACTAATAGAAGTGCCATTAGGTGCCTGCAGTGCATGTCAGTGCCTCCACTGAGAGCTGAAACAAATCTCATGATGGTGCCTGCCCCTGTGAGCCCAGCGATGAGAAGGTGTTTTGCCAGCTGATGCTCCTTAGTGGGGAACCCATTGTTGCTAAAGTTTAATGGCAGCTGGCCCGACCAAAACATTCTCTGGACTTTGATTTAGCTGCTTCTGCAACAGAACTTGGATCTTTAGGGCTGGTATTCAACCCCATTTGTGCTGTGTGGTGTTGCTGATGGCCAGGGGAGTGTCTGGTTAGCAGTGCTCTCTGGATGGGGAAAGGGGAGGCAGCATGGCCCGCAGCCTGTCCCAGCTGCTGCCCAGTTCTGCTATTTCATATTCTGGTTGTTACATGCAAGCGGCATCAGGACATAAAACTAGGAAAAGCACTAAATTGCAGCAAAAAAAACACCTTGCATACAGGTGCCTGATAGCTGCACTGCTGCATTTTCTGCCCCCACTGCAGGTGGCATTTCTGCCTCTGTCACCAGGATGGTGCTGGCAGCAAGGTGGTCCCTGCAGCATCAAGGACACACGTGCCAGCATGGTGTGGTTGTGGTGAGAGGATCCATGGCAGGTGCCTCCAGCATTCAGCCCCTGGCAGCACTGGCTCCTAGCGCTGCTGCTGGGACACCAAGTCCTGTTATTTCACAGCCTACATCGGCTGTGCCATGCCACAGAGGCAAGGAGGCTCTGGTAAGGATGCTGCCAGGCATCACCCCACTGAGAGTGCTTCCCCCAGTGCTGTGCGGTGATTAAAAATCAGCATCTTCTTTATGAGCTATTTTTACATCACAAATGCAATGCAAATGCTGTCCCAGCAATAAATTAATTCCTGTCATGTGATGGAAATGACACAGCAGTGCAAGATATGGCTACTAAAAGAAATGGGGAGGGTGTTTAGGCAGCGGTGGTGCAACCTGCTCCTCTCCAGAGCCTTTGGAGACCCACAGTGACAAAGTGCTGCTTTGGAGACACGTGGCCATAGCTGGCTGCTGGCCCTGCGTTCACCCCAGGAGCACCCAGAGGGCAGCAGAGCTGTGAGGGAATGCAGACTCAACAAAATAGGACTGTTCTGACCGGTGCCTGAATTTCATCCTTCACCCAATAACATGCAAACCACCCTCCTTTGCAGGGACCATTAATTATTTAGAGCGATGAATTTTTCAGCAGAAAGGGGTCTTGTGAAGCAGGCCTGCTTCTCTCCTGTGTGAAGCACATTGTTTTTAATGATCTAGGTTCATAATTATGTTGGCACAGCTCCCCTAAAAACTTGCAGCTCCTGCTGGAAGCAATCTACAAGCTGCTGTGGCTGCTAATCCGCACAGAAAGGTGCAGAGGCACAAAGTATTTTCCTGTGCCGACAGAAAAGGCACAAATTGGGTCGGTGCAGGTGTGTGCTGTGCTGAAACAGGAGCCAGGTCTGGTTCAGGTGCTGCCACTGGGGTTTGTACAGGTTGATCACCTGTGTATCCAGTGAGTGGCCAAAAAATCACTTGATCCATCCAATTCCTTTGCAAAAGGGATTAAGGTCATGCTTTGAACGTGTTGAAACTCAAGAGGGCAGGAGGCACAGGTAAATGGTGAGCAGTCTGACACTGAAGGGCGAGGGATGCTGACCTCCTTGGGGCAGAGGGTGTAAAAGAACAGAGTGGTTTTGCAGTGTGGTTCAAGTGATCGCAGCGTTGCAGCTGCCCCAAAATGGGTGGCAAATGGGAAAGGCAGAGGGAGTTTCAGGGCAGGTTGTGAGCAGCCCCGCTGCAAGTTGCTGGTGTGTGATATTCAGAGCTGCTAAAACACAGGCTGTGAGCTTCTTTCTCCAACATGCTGGTGTTATCACCCATAATTCCGGATACATTCTTGTAAAATAGAATTTCTGCTTTTGTTGTTCCCTTTGCAGGTGCTTGTCTGGGAAAGGAACCCAAGTGCTTCTGCCTGGTGCTGGAATCACACCTGCAGATCAACAGCTGCTTCCTAAGGAAATTCAGCCCTAAGCTGGAAAGAGTTCATGGAGCAAAGGTACCAAAGCATAGCAGCTAAAATGCCTCTCCCCCCTGCTGCACAGCACGCCCTCTCTGCTCTCCGTGTCTGCTGTGTTTTGAGAGGAAAGGAGAGGATGCAGGAAACAGGACGTGAAGGCTGAAAACCAAAAATAGATGGGAAGCAGGGAAAACAAACACCGTGCACCAGGGCCAGCGCAGGCAGCAGCAGGAAAAGCCTATTTGTCACAGCAGAAATCTCAGCTCCCACCGCAGGGCTGGCCATGGAGGAGCAGAGCCTCGTGCTCTGCGGCTGCCTCACCCTGGGCTGAGGGCAGCCCTGCCTGCGCCGTGCCGGGATACATAAAGCCACATTGGATGTTCTGCTCCCACTCCCAGGGAGATTAATTGTTTATCCCCAAACAAATGAATAGGCCCCTGGTGGGACTGTAAATATGTCGTTATGTAGCATAGTAAATTCTGATTAACAACGATTCCCTACCCGTTATTTTAATATTTTACAGATCTGACGCGTGCTGTAGCTGTGCCGTTCACTGAGCGATAAATCTGCTGAGGATGCCATTTCATTCACCAAAAAAGTCAAAATTAAAATGTCACACAACAGCCACCCAGGGAGAATCACTTAATGTCCTTAATGAGAAGTTTAAAATACAGTCAGCTCATCTTGTGAAACCAGCATCTGTGATCTTTGCATCTTAAAGTGAAAAGGGCAAAAGGAGAGAACAAATTCCAGTGTGTTGGTGCTGAGAAATGGGATCCAGTCTTTGGCTTGACAGAGATAAACGGCTCTGTCCTTTGCATTGGATCTTTCCTGCTGAGAGGGAAGCTGGGCAGAGCTCCTGCCATCATGCCCTGTGTGCTGGGATATGCCGTGCCATGCGTTTGTTCATTAATGCTATTTATTAATTGCAGCTTGACCATCCTGAGAGCTGTCATCTCCAATGGGGCCACAGTTTGCAGCAGCAGGCTGAAGGTAAGGTCACAGTCCTGCTGAAGTGCTCAAGCATCTTTGAAAGGAGGGCAGAATGTAAATACAGATAATAATTAGGAAAGGAAGGCAGGGGCTAACTGAGAAAAGGAAAGAAGGATGCTGGGTGGTGGTTGCAAATGTTGGCAGCTGGGCCCAGCTCTACTGTGGGGCCTGAGGTGCTGCTGGGTGGAGGAGGCATCACCACTGCTTTTGGAGAGCAAAGGAAGGGGGTTGGGGGAATCCACTGCAAATGCTCAGGCTGGTGTCTCTCTGCAGGGCAGCAGCAGCAATAGGGCAGCAAAGCAGCCTTCTCTCCATCCTGGAGGGATCTGCATGCTCCTGCATCCTGTAAGAGTCACTGCCACCAGCACCACGTGGCCACGAGGTTTGTCACTCCTCCCAGAAGTTTCTGTGAGTTTTGCTGTGAAATCCCCACTCTCCATCCAAACCAAAGCAGGTGAGGCTGCCCTGTCCTGAAACAGCAGTGCCTTTACCTTGGGCAAAGGTGTGAGAGGAGATCTTGGTAGGGAACGATGAATGTCCACCTGGGCACAAGGAAGAGACATCTGTCACTGCAGGAAGCTGCGTGCCCAGAGGTGGGAGGATCGAGGCTCACAGCTTGTTCATATTTCCCCCACACAAGTCACAGAAACAAACATCCGCCATCTGGTCGGCATTAAAGTGGCAGCCAGGAAGAGGATCCCACACGTCCTCATCTTCTCCTCCCCAGCAATTACCTTCCTTTTAGCACCATCTGAGAGCTTTCTCCTTCCTATTTGATATTCAGCCTCCATCCCGCTCCTATGCGGACGCTGTTCCCTTCCCAGCAGCACTGGCAGTGCCTGCTGTCATCCAATGGGGCTGTGGGAGCCGGACCAACCTCCCCAAACCGGCCCTGCAGTCGCATGGGGCTCGGGGCAGAATGCTGCTGGGGGTGGCTGGTGTCTAAGAGTGGTCTGTGCTGGGGGGTGTGCTGAGGCACGGGGACAGAGGAAGCAATGAGTCTCCATTCCTCTTTTCTTTCTCTTTGATTGAAGGCTTTGGTGGATGGGAGCTGTCTGAGCACGGGATTCTGCTCACCAACCCTGACTCAGCTGCTTGCACTCAAAATTCAGCAATAACCCCTGACAGCTACAGCTAAGCCAGTCCTGGCCTTTCAGGTAACCTTCTCACTTGTAAATTAACCAGAGTTTTCAACACAAGCACCAGAAAGTTTAATGTTCAAGCTGACTGAAGAAAAACGAAAAGAAAAAAAAAAACAAAAAACCCCACGTTATTTTAATTAGAGAGAGTAAGAGACAGATAATAAGTCTGATGAATTGTGGCTGTCTCTCTTCCAGTGCCATTGCATCTGGGGACACTGGAAAGTAGCTCCTAATGGCACTGCTTTATCTAAGAGGATGATGGATAGTAGTGAAAGAGGGGGAAAAAAAGGGGAAAAGTAAGACATTAGCACATCAATGGTGTGCCTGTGACCTCTATCAAGGGATGTGAACCAACTTAATGAAATTTTAATTAGGCAGCAAGCGGTGCACTGTTGCTGGGTACTGAATCAGACCTTCTCACTCTCACTCAGTCATTATCTTTCCTCGGGATAAGCTCTTTTCCAGCACTGGCAGCAAAGCCAAGCTCCTTTTCTGGGGCCAGGAACGCCCTGCAGGTCTCCCAGCTCACCCATCTGTTTCTCCATACGAAGCTGTGGGAGAGGAGCCCAAAGGCAGAGGCACTGCAGCCTCAAGGGCAATGGAGGGAATGCCATGCCATCGGTGTCCTGCCATGTCACTGCTATCCTGTACCTGACTGCTCTGTGTCTCACAAAGGCCAGGAGCAATGTTCGGCCCAAACATACCCTGTGTGCCTGGGTGAAGCCCTTCCCTAAGTGTGAGGCCCTGGACCCCCTGGGTTTGTTTGTCCCAAGGGCTGTAAGCAGGTGAGCCAAGATGAGCTGCTCATCACTGTCATGAGAAGCCATTTCTCAGCTGATTGCAACCTAATGGACAACCTAAGAGCACATGAGGAATCCAGTGCCTGAGCTGAACAAGAAAGTGAAGGCACGTTCAGCTTTTCAGCTTCTTCTAATAGAAGGGAAAGCAGTTGTTCTGTGCATTTTCAATGGGCTTCCCTGAATCTTTTGGACCCTGCTATGGATGAAAACCCAGGAAACACCCACCCTGAGAACTCATTGGGCTGTGCAAAGCCTTCACCTCATCCTAAGTGGGTTATTTTGTACTGTGCTCCAGCAGGGCGCTCACTGGCTTCATAAACAAATGGTCAGTGTGTTTTCAACTTGAATATCATGGGTTGATCAGCTTCTGTTATTTTAGATTATGTGCTTGGCAAAGCCTGAAAATAATTGGAGGCTATCTGGAAAAATAAAAATAGAAATTTGAAAGGAAGCAGCACTGGCTTCTGAAGTGCAGCACTGACAAAGGAGCACATGAGCCAAATGCTCCCACTGAAAGAAAAAAAAAAGCTACTCTGCACACTCACATCTGCAGGTGCAGATCTGGCACAAAAAAAGAAACACAGTGAGATATGGGGAAGCAGCTCAGGGCTCCAAAGCTTGCCTGTTTTCCCTGGCTCTACCAGTTGGGCTGCAGAGAGCAGTCAGCGCCCGAACCTCACAGCATCCAACAGCTCAGAGTGCTCCCACAACAGATCCTCCTTTCCATCAATGGTTTGTGCACATCAGCATTGGTCCCTGCGCTGTGCCACCTCCTTGCCTGGCTCCCACCGGCCCCCCTTCTGGTTTCCATCAGCCCCTGAAAGGTCTCATCCTGTGTGAGCTGCCCCAGTGTCATCAGCAGCATCTCTGGTGTTGGAGTGGGCACAACAGCCCCACAGCCTGAGCGCTGAGAGGGTTAATTAAAGGTGCCCAAGACCTTAGAAAGCTGCAAAGTAATTATAAAAGGCAGCAGAAAAAAGCCTGCAACCCTAAGCAGACATGAAGGCCCTCTTAAGAGAAAAAAGGCATGTTAATTAACCTCTAGACATGATTCAAAGCATCATTTGTAGCATGATTACCATAATCCCCCAAGTGCAAACACACAACTGGCATCAACCATCACTCACAGGGCTTAACGCTCCCCCACCCCTTCATCACATCAGCACGCTTGAGCAGGGGATGGTGTGACACAGGAGACAAAAAGAATCTCACCGCCCAGAGATGGACATCACCGAATCACATCCCAGCTGTGAGTTGCTGCCACCCTATGCACTGCAGGTGGCCATGCTCCCAGGTGTGCTCTCAGCGTCCCCCCAGGTGTGCCACCAGCTCTGCACTGGAAGCTCCTGAACCCACTGTCAGCTTTGCTTGCTTCACTCCCCATAGCCGCAGCTTCAAACCCTTCCTGCCAGGCTCTGCCACTCCATCAAAGGGCTGGTGGTTGCTATCAAAAGCTCCTAGATTCTCCTCCGCATGAGGATCTTGGCTTTCACTTAAAGGAGCTGCCCGCAGGATTGCTTAAAAGGATGGAAATGGATGTCACAAGTTCTGAAAGCAAAGAAAAAGAGAGCCACAGATTCCCCGAAGAAGAATCTCCTGCTTGATCTCACAGCCAGAGCTTGCAGCTCTGCTGGGCACCGACATGCAGGCGCACACATGAGGGAGCCAATGCCACAGCCTGCCTGAGCCAAACTGCCAGGGATGTTTTGTTACACCACACACCACCAAGCAGCCACCACTGGAGGTATTCTCACCCTCACCGTGCCACAAAGCTGGAGGGGGAGCACTTTTCCCTGCAACAGACAGCACTGCTTGTAGTTCATCGATATTTGGGAGGCATTAATAAAAGGCGACAAAGATGCATCACCAAAATCCCCTACAAATTCCACTCGGTACCACAGCATTGCTCGCCCCAACCTGGGGTGCTCAGGGCCCTGAGCTCCATCACTGCCTGGCTGTGAGGCTGTGTGATGGCTGAGGCTGCATGGAGCTGATGCTTATTCCAATGAGTCACTGCTGAGCTCCGTCCTTATCTTGAAAGTTTGTTATTGCTTGGAAGTGTTTATCTGAATGACGTTTGCAAAAACATCTGAACAAAGGCCAACTTATGGAAACAATGGCATTTTTGCATGTTTTTATATAAGTAGGAGGGATTGTAAGCAGACGGTTCTTCTCTTCACAATTCATAACATTTGTTTTTAATGACAATTTTAAGGTCTGTGACAGGATTTAAGCATCGCACGCAGACCTGGAGTCCTTGGAGGCAGAACAGCACAGCTTCACAACAGCTGAGGAATTCAGCTACTGACACACATTGTGCCACAACCATGGGGATTTCACCCCCACTGTGGGATTTCCACAGCACTGCAAACTGGGGTGAACCAAAGTTGTGTGCTTGGGGCAGCAGCAGCAAAAACCTCTGAGTGAGAAGGTTGGAATAGAAGGAAAGGAAAAGAGGATGAAAGGGCAGAGGGGCAAGCAGCCTGTATCAGCAGCGCTGAGCTTTGTGTGCTGATGGTCCCTGTGCACACAGACAAGGGGCAGGCAGCTCTTTGTCACACCAGGACACCACACGACCCTACAGCCAACGGGGCAAGCAGAGGGACCTTGGCCTCCTTCTCCCAAACCCAGCAGAAGGGGTTGGACAGGCAGAACAACAGCAGCAGTCCCCACATCCAGAACTGGTTGGTGGATCCGCGTGTTGTTTTTAGCAACCTCGAGCAACAAGCAATGCTCAGAGCCTCAGCAGGAAGCATCAAACCCTGTTGTTGTGTCCTGACTCCCTCCCATACGAGATGCAGCAGCTCACCCGGGCAGGTCGGGAGATGAGGGACGCGGCAGCCAGGATACGCCGGGACCGCCGCCAAGATGTGCACCGCGCCGGCACTGCCCCCACCCCGCACCGAGGCGCCCGCAGATTTCCGTGCGCTGCCCCGAGCACAGCCCAGCATCCCCACCACGGAGAGCATCCTGAGCATGCTTGGGGACAGGAGACGGGGATGCGGGGGTGGAGGGGTGATGCAGCACGGGAGATGCAGGGATGCACAGGGGAAGCAAAGGGTCTGAAGGTGATGCCGGGATGCTAGTGGCAGCACTGGGATGCTAAGGCAGGTCCGGGGGACAGGATGCTGGGGAGTCTGGATCAGAACAGAGGATGGTCAGATGATGACGGGGGGAAATTAAAGCGGCGAGGAGAAGGAAAGAGAGATACCGGGGAGCCTGGGGCAAGTCTGGGGGAACGCAGAAAGGATGACGGAGAGGACGCTGGAGAACCCGGGGCTGGGCGGGAGCGTGTCGGGGAGGTGACGGGAGAACACCGGGGAGCCCGGGGAAGGACGGCGGGGTGCGGCGGGGCGGAGGCGCTCACCTGCCAGGAGCCGGAGGGGATGTCTCCGAAGCCGCCGGGACCGGCGGAGCCGTGGCAGCCGCGGGGCGGGCCGGAGCACCGCCACAGCAAGCCGAAGCCGGCGGCGGCTCTCCCGGGCGGCAGCAGCCAGGCCGGGGAGAGGAAGGCGGCGGCGCAGGCGGCCAGGAGCCCCGCGGAGAGCAGCGCCCAGAAGCAGCCGACGCCGCTGCACAT